TATAAAATCTCCACTAGGCAAGCCGCGTAGTGGCCGGTTGGCCGCAATCCATTCATTTAATAATAACGCAAGCTTTGATGGCGTGACGTAGTTCAGTATACACTTTCCCAATCAGCAATGGTCGTACAATGTACGTACATTTTTGATCCATATTATGTCCCTACGTCCAGGGACCTAATTTGTACGTACTACTAATGTACAAAAATGTATGTATTCTTCTGTACGCTCTATGTACGTACATTTTTGGACAATGTTATGTTCCTACATCCAGGGACCTAATTTGTATGTATTAAGTACGTACATCAATATACATTCATAGTTCCTACTCCTACACTCTGTGGTATTTATCCGCTCTTTAATAAGAAAGCGATGAACCGAAAGATGACAAAGCCTTTATTACGGCGTTGCTGGAATTTTCACACCAGACCAACTTATTAATAAAGTTGTTTTTTAACATATATAAACCTATAAATAATTTGGTCGCGAAACCGATGTATATATTATCTGTTTATGTTATTTACATTTACATTACATACATTTAGAAATCACGTAGTACATTTTATGAAAAGTGTGAAACGCACATTATCCATAAATTTGTATTTGACGTAAAAAGTGCGGCGTTGCCAAATATATTCGGTATCATGGCAATTCAATTCGGAAAATTTCGCTCTCTCAAGTAGGTCTGACATATATCTTACTCGCAGATATTTGGGGATTTAGTAGAACTAGAGATTTCTCTAATTCTGTGCCTTCTTTATCTCTGAGTAGAACGCTTGACAAGGAGTTGGCAACGCTGACGCCCACGCCTTGCCGGCAAAGAAGGTGTTCTTTGCTTGCCGGCATCGGCAGCCATCTTACTTTTCAACAAGTTTATCGATTTGTTTGGATTTAACCAAAACAGGATTTTTGTTTGGTTTTATGGACTAAAAATTTCAAAAAACCTCTGTTTATGGTTGTGTTGACACCGTAGTTACTGAATTGTTTTACAGTAAAGTGCTAAGTGGAACGCGGTTTGTGTTTGTGTTTTTAGTGCTAGTAAAAGCAGCGTCCTGTTTCCTCGTGGCCGTAGCCTTGCAGATTAGTGCCGATTTTTGTTGTATCTATAATTTTTTTACTTTTTATATAACCTTATATAGTTACTAGGTTTTTAAAAAGTACGGCAGTACATGTATGATTATAATTTTATTTTACAGAAGTAACTCAACTTGGTAAAATTGGTGAGAAGAGGCTGAGAAGAGCTAATGACCGAAGCAAGGCAGGCAGCAAAAAATAATGTTCCTTACAATGACATGACATAGTATACATATATACCTAATCCTAACTTTTATGTATATATATGTATCCATAATAATGTATAGTTCCTGAGTTTAAACTCAGATAATTATCATTAAAATATAGGTATTAGAAATTTTTTATTTTTTTTTGACTGCTAATTAAATGCGTAGGTATGCATTTTCATATATATATGCATCTGCATTGATTTATGCGAATGCAGATGCGTAAATCATTGCGGATGCGAATATCCGCAACACCCCTGGTATGTACGTCCAACAATACTCAAAATGTACATTCAATGTACGTCCTATAAGTACGTACGTTCGATCTCCCTATACTACGTACCGTGTACGTCCAAAAAAGTGGAAAACGGGTGTCTTATGTACGTACATTGTACGTTCTACGTCCAGTGCGGTACGTAATATGTACGAACCTTATGTCGTTCATGTACGAACATTGGACGTACAATGTATGTATCATTGTTGATTGGGTTATGAGTATGAGTATAAGAGACGTATAACCAGCCCCATTTCCTCTTGACTCTCGAACCCCGTACAGGCCTATGTTTACTTACGCCGATTTTTGTTCTTCCCCAGCAACTGCACGGCTTCACCCGTGTTTGCTGGGTGCGAATGTCCATTGCGTTCCGTACTGTCCCCTATTTGGAGCTCGAGAGCGAGAGGCGAATAGTTTTAATAGCCTTTCCCGGGTTCGCCGAGCCTATGCTATACGCTCAGTGGGGTATGGAGGAGGGACGGGAGGGTGTTGGTTTTTGGGGGACAATTACGCCGACTTAAAACTAAGTACGACGCGGAATCCCCCTAGACCAGTCGATTAGTATTACTCCAAACATTTGGGATTACTATTTGGAGTTGGGGAGTTGTTATTTCGCTGCAGGGGTGTAGTTTCCTAGTCGAGGTCTTTGTCTTGTTCGTTATTGTCATTGTCCGTGTCCTGGTCAGATAGTTCCTGCCCTTGGTAAAGTGTGTCAGTTGTGTTTAATAAATTTTGTCCCAAGCACGTTTTGTGATAGAGTTTTGTCTTTTTTTATTAAATTCCAAAATTAAGCATTGCATTTATTTATTAGTTAAACAAATTACAAGCGCGGTTATTCTGTTGTCTAATGTTTACAAATCTCGAGTTTGGCTATTAGGCTTTTTTTTTAATGTGTTAGAATTATGATTAATGTGTTAGTTTATTCTGTAAGTCTAGTGTTTATTTTCGGTCTCGATTGGGATTGCCTTACGCATTTGTTGTTGACAGATTTGCCGTGTGCCTTTCATAGGTTTTAAAGATATCCCAATAAACACTTTAACGGTACCTATCACCATTAACATTGCCCGTGTAAGAATTTTTAATACTTTTTAATACAATTTTGCAATGATAGTAATTAAAAACAAAACAATTGTTTAAAGAGTAAAATATGTTCTTAACATAATCATATTTTAAAGTTATTTTAACATTTCCAAGTAAAATAAATGTTATGTTTAATAAAATGAATACGGGCAATGTTAATGGTGACAAATAACGGAAAATGCTTGCTGGGATCTGCCGTATTTAATTTGCAGATTTGTATCAGATCATGCATATTTTTAAAAAAACTTATCAGCTTTTTTTTTTGCGGATGGCCACCTCCCCTCTTGTTTGACCTCCCCTGTCTGTCCAGTGAAAAGCCTCCAATGACAGGTGGCACTTAACTCATTCGTATCACTCAGCACTTCACTCCTCAATGACCGTTACACCATTTTAGTTTGCACTCTATGAAAATGTTTGTTTCACTTATTAGTTTGCACTTTTTTTTTAATTATTGTTGGTTTTATCTTTAAACTTTTACGTTTCAAGAGCTTTCCCGCACGCGACGTGTCTTCTCGAGCGCTGGAACCGAACTGTGATGTAGTTCAGTATACACTTTATATCATCAAAATTTCACCCGCCGATAGTTTATCGAAAAATACTATGGACCGATTTTGCTCCCTCTTTGAGATACAGGGTGTTAAGTATTTATTAGATTTTTCTTTCTTATCTTCTGATATATATATGAAATTTGGTATTAATTTTTATCTAGAAAAATAATTTTTTAGTTATTTTTATTGTTTTAATATTACAACGAGTTATTTTTTTCTAAACATGTAGCCTTTATTAAAAACAGAACTTTTTTTATAAATAAATGTTTGTCTTTTAAGTTTTTTTCATATCTTGCTTCATTTTAAATTTAATAATAAAAAAGTCTTATTAAGACTTAATTTAATTTGATATGCTGTCAGTATGGTAAATCTAATTCCGCCTCGGTCCATAAATCTCGTGGCGTTAAAAATGGTCAAAATTGACCCCCTGACAAGTCCTCATGACTGAATGTGACGACCCTGCCGAAGGGTCATGTGACGAATTATCAAATCTCCCTACCATCTAAAACATTTTTTTCTGTACTAGAAAATAATCTTACTTAAAATGGAAAAAATAAGAAATTTCATTTGATTTACTTTGTCACGTGACGTTTAAAAAAAAACCTCCCTCCACCCTGCCAGCGTAACGAGATTTATGAACGGTCAACTAAGTTGATTTTTCATCTGAGATGTTCAAATGTTAGAGCAGCAACCTTTTTATGTCGCGATCCTTCTCAGATTTTTTTGAAATGTTCGCGGCACGCAATAATAAAATAAACAAAGCTTTAAAAATATTATTACTTATTTTTTCCACTCCCACCTTTAAAACGCCCATTATTGCACATGTTTCCATGACACTAAGTGACCTTTTAAATACACATTGACAAGTTGTGGCTTTACGGTGTTTTAGTCACGGGCTAAAATTAGCAACATTTTTTTAGTCACGGGCTGAAGTTAGCTTTAAGTTAGTTGACAGTTGTCAAATGTCATACAATCGTTAAAATAAAGTGCCCTTCTTCTAAAATAATACTAAATGTGAAAATTATTTTTTTATCTTAATAAAAAAATACAAAAACATTAAATAGTTTCTCAACGCCAATATTTGAAAAGTTTATATGAACATTTTACTGACCTTTTAATTTCGCCGGCAGTAAACTAGATATAACTTAAAGTCGGGCTCGGACTTCACCGTAAAGTGCTAATAAAACATTTTCTTCACTTTCACTGTGAAAAACTGTTGTTTAATCCATTTTCAAGGGATACATTTTGATTGACTTAAATTTGACATTTTAAGGTAACACAGATTCTCCTATTGTTTTATAGATGGCGCTCTATACAAATACTTAATTTAAATAATGTTTAGATAATAAGTATTTGTCGTAGAAAAAGGATAGTATGCAACTCGTTTATAAACTCGCTCGTGTCTAAATTAAATTCGTGTCTAAAATGGCGTTTATCAAAGTTGATACATAATAATACTATAGTAGAGCCTAAAACTATGGGATATGAAGGGTAGGTAGAATTTTGAAAATTTAAAAACCTTTTTCGCTTCGTGCTGACAAGATTTATCTGGTCCAGTTACAATGTATTTTCCCTATGGTTAGCTTGCAAATGAATGTACGGTATATGCTACTGCACGTGCGGGTACTATGCAAGTAAAATGAACTTCCAAATATTATCTGGGAGATTTGCTCCAACCGATAATTTTGACTGTCTAGTAGTTAGTAGCATCCAAAATTATAATACTCGCGTCCCTATTTTAGTATTGTAAAAACAATACTAATTATAATAGTCAACAAGTTAATTCGTCTTTACCAGGATAAAATAATTAACAATTTGTAGGTTCCCAATGTAATACAAGCCTGCTGTGACTTTTTGGAAAGACAACTGGACCCAAGTAATGCTATAGGTATAGCTAGTTTTGCAGAACAGCATGGATGTTTGGAATTATACAAAAAAGCCAATCAATACATTGAACGGCATTTTTGCCAGGTAAATATTTATCTTTATATTTAAACTTGTAAGGTTGGTTTGTGATTTATTACACTGAATTCATTAATTTATTCATTAGCTTTTTTCTCTCTCAGAAAAATCCCAGACAACAATCGGGATTTCCTAATGAACTCGTGATATCATAGGTGCATGTACATTAGGGTGAGCCAAAAAAACTAACCTATCGGATTTATGGGTTAAAATGAACCTACATACCGAGCAAAAAATTTTCCTGCAAGGAAAAATTTTTTGCTCAATTTTAAAAGGTGTCGGTGAGCATTCTAAGTTTTCCATTGAAATAACACGTAAAAAAATCTTTTTTCATTAAAAAAATATAACTTTTGAACCGTATGAGATAAAAATTTTTACGTCGCGGATTCTTGTAGAGCATAAAATTTCCTACAAAATCTATCCCAGAATTATTTTTTTTCAATTTAAAAATTCGTATATTTGAAAGCTTTGAAAAGTGAAAAAAATCATAATATTTAGTTTTAGTGTTTTTTGACTAAAAATGTTCATTAGGGTGTTTCATTTAAAACGAAAAATTTTTTTTTCTTGCTGACACATGAAAATTTCGGTTTTTAGGTTGAAAAAAAAATTCCCTGAAAATTTGAGCCCTTAATTTTGATTCTAAGTACTTCCTTTTTAATTTTGTAGTTTTTCCATATAAAAAGCATGTATTTTTAATCATTTTTACTTTAAATTTCTATAATTTTTATCACCATAATAAAGGCCCTGCATCAATTTTGTTTTTGATTTATTTACGTTGATTGTAGTAGCTCCAAAAAACCGAAATTTTCATGTGTCAGCAAGAAAAAAAAAATTTTCGTTTTAAATGAAACACCCTAATGAACATTTTTAGTCAAAAAACACTAAAACTAAACATTATGATTTTTTTCACTTTTCAAAGCTTTCAAATATACGAATTTTTAAATTGAAAAAAAATAATTCTGGGATAGATTTTGTAGGAAATTTTATGCTCTACAAGAATCCGCGACGTAAAAATTTTTATCTCAAACGGTTCAAAAGTTATATTTTTTTTAATGAAAAAAGATTTTTTTACGTGTTATTTTAATGGAAAACTTAGAATGCTCACCGACACCTTTTAAAATTGAGCAAAAAATTTTTCCTTGCAGGAAAATTTTTTGCTCGGTATGTAGGTTCATTTTAACCCATAAATCCGATAGATTAGTTTTTTTGGCTCACCCTAATGTACATGCTTTATCATAGTGATATCATATTGAACTGTTAATTTCAAAATTTGCGCATGCGCACGAGCTCCATTAACAATAAAAATTAGTTATTTAGTTTTATTTAATTTAATGGAATGGAGAAGAAAAACTATTATCTCGAATATTTGTCTTATAGTAAACAGTTATAATAATAAAAACCCGCAAACTGCAACACTGATTATATACGCGATGTCTGTAAACAAACGATTTTCGACCTTATAAGGTCATAAATGAAACAAAACAAAACGCGATTTTCGACTACATGAACCAATTGGTACATTAATGATATTAATTTAATGTATGATGCGGACACTTTAAAGCAACAGAAATCCTCGGAGGGGCTTTACAGCGATGCGAAACATTGTACGTTATATCTACTTTTGTCTTGTCTATGGAAGAAACACTAACACTAAAACATAACCAAAATTTTTCTTTTTCCTTTAACTTTTTATTCATTTTTGTGAGAGAATTAATCTTGAAGTTTAATTTAAAACATTCACTAAACTGTTTGGATAAATCTCTTAAAAGGTTAAAGCAAGGGATGTTATCAATAAATTCGTCGTATTTATACGACGGGACACCGACTTTGTCTCTCCTGGGTCAAATAAGTAACTTATTTTTAACACTATTTTATTAAGCAGATCACGCCACCAAATACAAAGTCAAACTGTAACCAAAAATCACGATACACAAAAACCGGTATGCTGCTTATGAAACGAAAACTCGTCGACTCCGCGCATGTGACGTCACGTGCGAACCAGATACAAATGATATAAACAGTTTTGCATGGGCATCTTGTTTTACTACGATTTATTTTGAGTTTTTTCTGAAATTTTTGTGTTTTTCAAAGCATAAGCCACGCACGATGTTTTCGTAGTTTTTACTGCATTTATTGAACAGCAATAACTATTTATAAGATATTTATAAGCCACCCTTGTGGACATTTTTCTCTAAGAAAGTTTTAATAAGAGTTTTGAAAGTCTTACTTTATCTTAAAAATACTGAATAAGTCAGACTAATAGCAAGATTTTTGAGTCTTCTAGAAGAGTTAATAAGACTTTTTAAGACTTAATAAGACTTTTAGCAGAGAAATGGTAGGTACCTATAGCGATTAAAATAAATATTCGGAATTATTCAGAGATGTTGTATTTGGTTATTGCAAAAGAAAGCACAATGAAAAGTATTTATAAACACTGTTTTTGTGTTGTTATAAGGATTATAAAAACACGGAAGCAATGTTTACAATATAAAACAGTTGGGAGACACGTTTGGTTTGTGTACATACAAGATCCCTTGTTTATTAAGTACATAAGGTATAATAACTATAACAATTCTTCGCAACGCACGATATGGTCGACAGCAGTGATGGGTCGCACATGTGCGAGTCGTACATAATGTACGACACTTTTGTGTGTGCGGAGCTGGTACGATTCTTTTTAAATGTGCTACCAGCACATAGCACCCAGAGATAAAAAAGGCACCTTTATCATACGTGGCACGGTGCGCTGAAACAGCACTGCTCTTTATCTAACCTATGGCTCTTTAGTAAAAAATCTTTACGTTTGTGGCTTTGACTATATGATTCAGCACAGATCACATAAATGGCACTACAATGGGTTACAAGTTGTAGAGAAATTATTTTATATAATTAACAGTTTATATATCTTGGAAAATATCCAATTCATAATGTATCGTGATGTCCACAACACAGTCTATATTATAATTGTATTAAAATAAAATTGCCACTTATCAAAAAAGGGTTTAAGTTAAAATCCCTATTAAAAATGCCATATAGAAACACAAAATAAAAATCTATCTGGTTCAATATAGGAATTTGAAACAGGCATTGCACAATTGAACCAGATAGAATTCCATACCTGGAAAACCATATAGAAAAGGGATTTCTATATGGATTGCCATATAGGTTCATATTGCTCTATCTGGCCCAATATGGTTTGGGTGTGAAAAAATTATTACCATATAGATCCATATTTAACCATATAGGGGAATCTATATGGTTTAATATGCAATTTTCGTTTAAATATATATACATTTTAAAATGGAATTCCATATTCAACCATATAGGGAAACCTATATGGAAAAACACATAAAACAGAAACCAGATAAATCCATATAAAAATCCCTAAGTTGTACATTTTAAAATGAAATTCCATATGAAACCATATAGATTCCAAAGTGTAAACCAGGTCGTTCCATATAGGACATATAGAACCATATAAATCCATATTAGTTTCCTTATCTGGATCAATATGGGTTTTATAGGGCATTTTTAATAGGGATTGTATTTATCGACTTTAATAATAAACATAAAAAAACATAAAACTGGATTTTACATCAATTAAAAATCCAAAACCGACAGTTGGATACGACACGCACAGTGTGCTGAGCTGTGCACCCTATTAAAAATGCCATATAGAAACACAAAATAAAAATCTATCTGGTTCAATATAGGAATTTGAAACAGGCATTGCACTATTGAACCAGATAGAATTCCATACCTGGAAAACCATATAGAAAAGTGATTTCTATATGGATTGCCATATAGGTTCATATTGCACTATCTGGCCCAATATGGTTTGGGTGTGAAAAAATTATTACCATATAGATCCATATTTAACCATATAGGGGAATCTATATGGTTTAATATGCAATTTTCGTTTAAATATATATCCATTTTAAAATGGAATTCCATATTCAACCATATAGGGAAACCTATATGGAAAGACACATAAAACAGAAACCAGATAAATCCATATAAAAATCCCTAAGTTGTACATTTTAAAATGAAATTCCATAATAAACCATATAGATTCCAAAGTGTAAACCAGGTCGTTTCATATAGGACATATAGAACCATATAAATCCATATTGATTTCCTTATCTGGATCAATATGGGTTCTATAAGGCATTTTTAATAGGGCAACGTGCGAGATTCTCAATTTGAATCATTTTCCCCCACCCCGCACAAATGTACGACACGCACACTGTAGTGTGATATGCTAGCACACAAGAATGTGCTGGTTCGACCCATCACTAGTCGACAGTCGAACTCATACACAAATTATAAAACAAATATGGTTGATCTTTCATTGCTTCCCCTATTAAAAATGCCATATAGAAACACAAAATAAAAATCTATCTGGTTCAATATAGGAATTTGAAACAGGCATTGCACTATTGAACCAGATAGAATTCCATACCTGAAAAACCATATAGAAAAGTGATTTCTATATGGATTGCCATATAGGTTCATATTGCTCTATCTGGCCCAATATGGTTTGGTTGTGAAAAAATTATTACCATATATGTAGATCCATATTCAACCACATAGGGGAATCTATATGGTTTAATATGCAATTTTCGTTTAAATATATATACATTTTAAAATGGAATTCCATATTCAACCATATAGGGAAACCTATATGGAAAGACACATAAAACAGAAACCAGATAAATCCATATAAAAATCCCTAAGTTGTACATTTTAAAATGAAATTCCATATTAAACCATATAGATTCCAAAGTGTAAACCAGGTCGTTCCATATAGGACATATAGAACCATATAAATCCATATTAGTTTCCTTATCTGGATCAATATGGGTTCTATAGGGAATTTTTAATAGGGTCATGCCGGATGAATGTCATAAAAGTTCCCGACCAAAAATTACAAAATACTAAAAAAACTAGTTATATTTTAAATTTACTAGCGCATTCGCCCTGTTTTAAAAAAATTAATTAAATTAATTTAAATTTTTTTTATAACTATATAAAAATCTGACAGGATGTCCTATATAGAATAAAATAATTATGCATTTTTAGTAAACATACAATATTATTTACTGAGAATATCTTCGGTTGGTATTTTGATCGAAATTTGCAAAATATCCGATTTTATCCGCTTCAAAATTCTTCCTGCAAAACATGACGAAAATACCCCATTTCCGAGTAAATTACCCGCAAACGGCAACACTTGGTAAGTAGTGACAGGAGACCTATCTTGAAAACGCGGGAAGATGCCATCACATGACAGATCAGCTGTGCTCTAATTGGTCAGCTGAGAAAATCGATATTGTGTCTAAAAAGTGTTTGGAACAATATGGTGATTTTCAGTCTGTGCGAACTGCTAAAGAACAGACCTTGTTGTGTGGGTTAGATAAATATTTGCGTGTAAAAAGAAACTATTAAAATAAAACGTACAATGGCAACAATAAAAGAAAGTCAAGCGCATCGTATGTAAAAAATTTAATTGTTATAATTATTACACCTCACATATGTTATTATATAGGTAATTATGCAATAAACATGGCTTATTACCACCCGGCAAAATGTTAATAAATACTTTTCTTTGTGTTTTATTTTATAATAACCAAATAAACAACTTCTCTGAATAATTCCGGATATTTATTTTAATCGCTATAGTTAGGTTCCTTCCATTTCTATGCTAAAAGTCTTATTAACTCTTCTAATAGACTTCCAAATCTTGCTATATAGTCTGACTTACTAAGACTTATTCCGACAATAAGTCTTATCCTGACTTTTTCCAACTTAATAAGTATTATTCAGACTTTTTAAGAGAAAGTAAGACTTTAAAAACTCATATTTTTACTTATTAAAACCCTTTCAGAGAAAAATCTCCACAAGGGCACGCACGAATGTTTTTATACCAGGTTATTTATTAAGTTTGTGTTATATTTGAGGCCTGTCAGAGCAAAGTCAACAATCTCCCGTCAGACTAAAACTGAGTAAATTAAAATAATTGATTTTGGTATTTTAAATTTTAGATTTGTAATTTTTTTTAAATATTATATTGAAATATTGTTGTTGTTAGTCTAGTAGCCAAACTACAAGGTCTCCAGGATGCATACTATAGGTGAAATCTATAATTTTATTATATAAATTGGAGATTGCTGACTTTGATATGAATTGCTGGAGATTGCTCATTTTGTTGTAAACGTTTAAGAAGATTTAGAAAAATAAACAAAAAAATAATTGTATTTTTATTCCTTTAATGGTTATAGATTTAACTATACAATCAATGTGGGAAAATTCTGAACTGGACCACATAAATCTGGAGTTTCTTCTAAATCTTGGACCAAGTTTTTATAGTACAACAACCCATCATCTTCTTCCCACTTTGACCCGTAATGTTTTACTTGCAATGTTTTGACATTATCAGCCTTTTCTTGCTGTACCTTTACGTCTTATTATGGTATAATAGCACAAAATAAACAAGATAACTTTTTTTTATAATTCTTAAAACAATATATATATACCTATTTTAAATATATTTTTAAGTGCAATTTACTGCAATGGAACTCAACAGTACTATGTACCAGTAAAACACACAAAATTAAATCTCTAAAATATGTTATAACTTAATTTTATCTAACATAAGCTTTCCAAGAAATGACACAAGACTCTCTGAGATCTGCAGACTATACAATTTACTAGCTTAGGATGCGTTCATAACTCGTTACGATTTTCATTTTTTACGTGTGATATTTGTATGATATCCGTATGGCATAAACATTTAAATTCAACCAAAATCACGACATGATTTTTATTTTCCACGTGTGATATAGCTGTGAATAATAATATTTCCACGTGAAAACGTGACGTTCGTATGAAAATGACGAATGTTGTTCGGGATGTTAGGTTTACTAAAAATAAAGGTTCCAATAAATTTGAAGGTTAATTTTTAAACTGTTTTAGCTACAATTTTATTTACTTATACATACAAGTAAAATTACATTTTCTTACTACCTCGACTCAAAATACGTTGTTTCGTCCCCGATTCCACGGCAGAAAGTTTACGTTTCTTGCATTGGTCAAGCTATACGCGCACACTCTAATAGCGGGAGTAAAAATTTTTTAGTCGTGTGCTTAACATTCAAATTTCGTACTGCCAACATGAGAAACACAAAAATATGACAGTTTTAAACCATAATTTTGCAATTATAACAACAAATAAACAATTTGTTTTTACTTTTTTACTTTTTATGTTGTTTTAAGTGTTTAATGATACTTTTATTTGTTATAAAGTAGTAATTTGTTAATTAAAATACAACGTTTTATTTTTACTGTATTGGCACCGCTGAATTCACGGCCTACTGTTATTTATTTATCAAGCTCTTCAAATGGAGATAGATACATAAATACACATTTAATTTTTTCCCGTATTTTCGGCCGAGGTAGTAAAAAAAATAGTATACACTACACGGGCAGAAAGTGTGAGAGTCCTGAACTGCGCGCCATGATGCCCTCGGCTTCGCCTCGGGCATCATGGCGCGCAGTGCAGGAATCTCACACTTTCTGCCCTTGTAGTGTAATATACTATATTTATACATACAAGTAAAATTTTAGGTTTAGTTTATTATAATAAACTAAACCTAAAATTTTACTTGTATGTAAAATATTTTATTACTGTAATAAAACATTTAAAACATTTATAGATTTGCCAAGAAGAAGAATTTTTTCAACTTACTGCCCATCAATTGGTTAGTTTAATAAAAAAAGACGAATTAAATGTGCAAGATGAAAAAGAAGTATACAATGCAGTTTTAAAATGGGTTAAGTATGATGAAGACAATAGGCATATGAAAATGGAGTGTATATTAAGTGCGGTTAGATGTCAATTTTTGCCACCCAAATTTTTAAATGACCAAATGACTAATTGTGATGTTATTAGGAAAACACCGGCTTGCAAGGAATATTTAGCTAGGATATTTAAGGTAAGAATATGCGTTTATTTTAAAATTGCATGCGAATAGATCTAGGCGTTTGGATTGAATCGATATTTTCCTGCTAGAAACTAAAGGCCTGGCAGAATTTCTAAAACTTTAATTCCAAGTTAAATATTGTTAATAAGAGACTATTAAAAATACAACCTACTTATACATTAAGGTGTTATTTTGAAAAAATAATGTATGCATATGTCTCACATTTAATTATTGTTACTTGAATAATGACAAAGCTACATATAATTATTAACCGTATTGTATTTTAATATATTTAAGATATTTAAAAAACAAAATTAACTTAATAGAAATAATGTTATTCATAATCAAGGATAATATTGATATAATTGTGTTTTTTTTAAACATGGGTTAAATGTAAAGATATTGCTTAACTATAATGTAGAATATCCTTCCAGAAAAAAAGACCACCTCCTATTTACATAAAGGAACACATTAAATATAAAATAAATGCAGTTAACCATGGAAGAGATATCTTTATAAAATTCTAATGTCCCAGTTTTCGTACGAACATAATTTGCACTGACATTTTATTTTATATTGTTTCCTTGTATGTTTTGGTAAAGAAGGAAATGTAGAAATTGAGTATCTGAACAGCAGACAAATTCGGATCCTTTTTTTCGGTAAATATATATTTTGCAAGCACAGCATATCAGTCGTGGAAGACGGTTGTCTTCAGGATTAAAAGGAAAAATGTCCTGAACCACGATCTGAAGAGTTCCATTAATTTTTTGGCATATCCGCCTTCTTTTTGAAACATAACAATCAAACTCGCGATTTTCTTCGTGGGTCCCAGCATGAGTTTTCACATACATCATTTTAACGTTCATTGTTATAAGGTACAGAATTTGACAATAAACTATTCGGCAGCGTATAAGCTCAATGTGTAGTTCAGCAACTATGTCCGTAAAGTGGACAGTTGGACAGATGACTTTTCGTTGTAGTGCCACCTGACGGAAAAATAGTAAAATCTCTTCGCCCGGAGGACTCGATTTTGATTGTTATAATGTCATTATAACTCTTAATAACCTTAATAATTTTTTGCCCTAAATTTCGATTTCCAACGAAATGGCTCGGGTAATTTTGTTATAAACGGGTGATTGAGTTTATTTTAATATATATATTCGAAATATGTCATAAAAAACGTGGTGCTAATCCGGTCAATATAGACTGGACTGCTAGTAGGCGCAACAAATATGGTTTGTTTATTTTTTTCAGTTAATACATTATCCCTAACTCATACGGAGCTTTTTGAAAAGTGTTTTAGTTTGAAGCATTTCAATATAAAATTAGTTTTAAATTACTTAGTAGCCTGCGCATTTACAATAATAGATGTTGGTTTTAAATTACTTAGTAGACTATGCATTTACAAAAATAAATGTATCTCGGAAAAAACTTAATTATTTTTTTTTTAATAAAGAAAAACGCTGGAAGCTTGAAGAAATATCATTGTATTAAATATTGTCATACGTTGGTGATGGAAACCATAAATTAAAAAGCTAGCAATAAATAATTTTGAATTAATTAATTAATTAATTGGTGAATATTAATAATTTTTGCCACCACCGCGGTAGGCTAGAGAGCGCTTCCAGCGCGCGAAAATTTAAGTGTTTTATATCACCTTCAAATCTGTTGAATTTTTATCAGGTAACCAGTAAATGTTTAAGAATTGCTTGCTTTGTGTTGGTAAATTGCGCGTGAAGGATTTGCTTCTCTTACAATGTTAATTCCTAATTTATTTTTAATTTTTGACCATCATTGTATTTAATACTGTCATGCGTTATGTCTGGAACAAATAATGGTAATGTATGTATGAACAATACTAAGGTTTTAAAAAATGTCACGCATTCTCACACTCTGTGTTAAGTGTTTTTAATAGCTTACTGTTCCGTCTTTTAAATAAATCTAAAATCAAGTGTAAGTAGGCGCCACAAATATTTTTTGTTTGAAACATTTTAATAGAAAGTTGGTTTTAAATTACTTAGTAGACTATGCATTTACAAAAATAAATGTATCTTGGAAAAAACTTAATTCAAAAATTTAATTTTTTTTCAAAAAATTTTGAAAAACGCTAAAAGCCCAGAATTAATATTATTTTATAAAATACTGTCATACGTAACAATTAGGTTTTATTTTATAAATGTTCAGTTATAAACACAGTCAAAGTGTCTAGGGAACACCTAAATATTTTTAAATTATTGCAGTAAAACCAAAAAAACTAATGTGAAAATATAATGAATTAATAAAAACAAGTGTTTTTAACTAATTAAATAAAAAATATATTGCAAAATGATGTCCCAACCCCTTCAAAAATTTAAATAATAACACCCACGAAATATCCAAATATTTATTAATATGTTATTTATAATAATTATGCCACATTTATTTTTTTTTATAAAAAACTAATATCCAGACGGACCTCCTCGGTTGTTTTTGACCGCCCTACATCGATTTGGCATACTCAATATCAGCCTATCGAGTAGGTTTTGGTCCCGATTTCGCCACACCTCCTGTACCGCCAAAATTAGCTGCTGCTGGTCCATAATGGTTTTGGCAATTTAAAATTCTTCTTTTCATAGCATCCCATACTTTTTCTATTGGATTAAGGTCTGGGGAGTTTGCTGGCCAAGGTAAAATGCTTATATCATTATCTTCGAATGCTGCTCGAACGATCCTCGCAGTATGTGGCCTAGCGTTATCCTGCTCGAAAATGGAATTTGGTCCCATATTGGTTAAATAGGGTAACACAATAGGTAAAACTATGTTTTCGCGATATCGAACTGCATTCAAAGTTGTTTCCATGAAAAAGAGCTCGGTTCTTCCGCCAGTATTAATCCTTCCAGAATCTGGGTGGGAGCAAAATCTTGACTCATCAGAAAAAATAATACGGCTCCGATCATCAGGACCCTAATTAAGATGTTCTTGTGCCCAAGCTAAACGAGCAGCGCGATTTCCAGGGAGCAATCGGGGTACACTTAAAGGTCGTCTCTGAAATAGACCTTGCTCTCGGACACGGTTTCTGACGGTTTGAGCTGACACAATCAAATCGTGGGTCCTAAGAAGCCTTTGTCTTAGCTCGGGAGCTGTTATTTCCGGAGCTTGCAAAAGCAAAAAGCGGTCTTGTACCGGGGTAGTTATCCTACTGCGGCCTTGATGTCTTTCTTTTACGTCATTATACTCATTGTAACGTCTCCACAATCTGCTTATAAAACCACCCTCTATCATACCAATTGATATTAAGTTTTGTTCGTCACTTAGATGGTGCCTTTCCATAATAATAAAAGTATTTTTATAAAAATTTGATAAATATTGGGTCAATAACACAAGATATACTAAATTGCACCGTTTAAAGGGTACCCAGAAATACGATAAATAGTAAAAAAAACTTATTTTTTGCATTAAAAAATGTGTTTTACAGTGTGTTCTTTTATATTTAGTTATGTTGTTTTATAATTTATAAGTTAAATTATTTATTAATTAAATTTAATTCGATTTTTCTGGGTGTTCCCTAGACACTTTGACTGTGTATATTTTTGTAATTTACATATTAAAACTATAGATCTTTATTTTGCCATCACACAAATATACTTTTGTTGTTAAAGTATTATATTGTGGATTTGTTTTTCTATTGGCAGTAAAAATTAATTTTTATTAAATTTTCCTCAATAAGACCAAAAAGATTAACATTAACTAAGAATTACTCAACCAAATATTTTCTGCGCGTTAAATTGAAATTACCAATAGGAATTCAACTGGAATTAATTGGTGATTTATAGCGCCAAAACACATTTCAAACCAATTCAAACCAATTACTTATTTTTTATTGGATTCTATTGGTCATTTACAATAGGGTTGTAATTTAATTTAGCCAAAGATGTTCAGTTTTGTACCGGTAACTGTAAAAGAAGTTTTAAAATTGATTGAGGGGTTGGACAACAAAATCTCCAGAATCTCGACAGTGCAAACAGTGCAAAAACAAGGTCAAACCAGTGCTAACCAAAATTATTAACCAGTCATTAAATAGTGATATGTTCCAAGAACTATGAAGATACCGGCTTATAAAAGTGGTGAGAAATTAAATGTGAACGATTTTAGACCAATATCTGTGTTGCCTTTATTCTCTAAAATTATGGACTTTTTTTTCAAATCTTCAATATGGTTTTCGAAGATGCAGCGATACCTCAGCTCTGCTGCTGTTGAGTTAATAACGGGTATTCAAATGAGCATCAAATCAAATTACTTAAGTAAATCATTGTATACTGTACTGTATTTATAAGACGAACAAGTTTCCATATTTATTTTGGAAATACTTATAAGGATTAATTGGCAAGTTCAAGGTCTTTTTGATGGAAAATCGAGAATAATTTAAAGATATTTGTGTAGTAATTTCAAACAACAAATAGACAATTTACAGTGACTTTCCAGAAACTCGACATTTTTTCTTATTTAATTTTTTAATTACAGAAGGAATACTATTGAAAACGTTATTCCGATACAAATCGGTACGAAACAAATAAATTCGGTATAATACGGCACTATTTATTTTTCCGGGACACCGTTTCAAAATCTGGAACCTCTCTCGGCCAATCCGGTACAGTTGGTTACCTTATCTAGAGTACTGCTTAAATTTCATTAGCAATATTTTGACATTGAAACAAGTACTTATGCAGGTTAATATTTTTTTAAGGATTTAACATTGCACATTAGGACAGTTGTTAAAGAAAGAAGCCCAAACATTCCAAGAGTAATTTACATTGCAGGCGGATACTATAAACAATCATTGGATATTTTGGAAGGTTATAATGTTGACGATAAAAATTGGACAACTCTAGATAGTCTTACAGTACCAAGATCTGGATTGGGTGGAGCATTTTTAAAAGTAAATTGCGATTTATACCGTTTTAGGTTGATTTTTAAGTATGAATTTTAGGGAACTTTTTATGCTGTCGGTGGAAGAAATAATAGTCCAGGAAATAGTTATGATTCAGATTGGGTAGATAAATACAATCCTTTAAAAAATCAATGGAGACCATGCAGTCCAATGTCAGTTCCACGAAACAGAGTTGGTGTTGCTGTAATGGATGGATTGTTATATGCTGTTGGAGGAAGTGAAGGATTAAAATACCACAGTAGTGTGGAATGGTAATGTTTAAATAAAGTGTACAAAATTTTACTTACTATATGTTATGGGGTGTCCCAGAAATGTTGGCAGAAAATTTAACATCGGGTTCCTTAGTAAAAAATAATAGTTTTTTCACAAGAACTTATGGTCTACTGTTTTTTGTTTCAAAGTTACAGTGTGTATTGTTTAACAACTTTTAAACACTAGAGGATAAATTGTTTTATTTGGTTATTGTTTTTAATGCTTATTCTACCATTTTCTAAGACTGTATTATAGCATACTTGTTACATGTGTACTACACATTGTGTAGGCTGTGAAAAAACTGCTATTTATAACGGGTTAAACTACGGAAAAACGAAGAGATAAAAGAAAAACGCGGAAGCGTGGTTTTATATAAAATAAAAAGCAGATTAAAAAAATTACCAAACAAATTTTTTCAGTGCGTACCATCTTTTTATTTATAAAACCCTACTCTCTAAAAATGAAATAGTCAAAATTCTACTATTTGAATTAGTACCAGCATTTTTTACTAATAAAATAGTCTTGTTGATTGTTTCGACCTTTACTTGATGAAACTCCATATTATTAATATATGAATGAAAACAACACTGTTTTAAAGTTTCACTAATTTATTTATGTTTTTAATAATTAACAATTGTTTCGCTACACTGTAGCTTCTTCAGAATTAGTACTTATTTTAACAAGTGGCGGTATTTATATTAACAACAGGCAGGTAATTTGAGAAGATAAATGTTATATAAACATTATACCTGAAGGTAAAATTTTATATAATTACATAATTTTGGAAAAACTGAGGGTTTGGGAAATCCTATCTAATATAATATATAATTATATTAGATAGGATTTCCCAAACCCTCAGTTTTTCCAAAATTATGTAATTATATAAATTTTACCTTCAGGTATAATGTTTATATAACATTTATCTTCTCAAATTACCTGCCTGTTGTTAATATAAATACCGCCACTTGTTAAAATAAGTACTAATTCTGAAGAAGCTACAGTGTAGCGAAACAATTGTTAATTATTAAAAACATAAATAAATTAGTGAAACTTTAAAACAGTGTTGTTTTCATTCATATATTAATAAAATAGTCGTTTTCACTTTTAAATAGTTATTTTTTACTACGTAAATAGTTAAAGTTTGACTAATTTAAGATTAGTCACCATAATTGACTATTTCTGACAGTTTAAAGTAACTAATTTCTTTAATCGTTTACGGGGGACAATAACGCCGACTTAAAACTAAGTACGACGCGGAATCCCCCTAGACCAGTCGATTAGTATTACTCCAAACATTTGGGATTACTATTTGGAGTTGGGGAGTTGTTATTGCTGCAGGGGTGTAGTTTCCTAGTCGAGGTCTTCGTCTTGTTCATTATTGTCATTGTCCGTGTCGGATAGTTCCTGAATTTGGTAAAGTGTGTCGGTTGTTTTTTTTTATTTTATTTTTATTGTTGCTTAGTTGCTCCCAACTGGTCTTGTTAATTTGTGAGAAGTGCATGTTTTGTGCTAACGTGTCATGCGATAAGGCAGTTCCCAGTGGGGGGTATTTTTTTACTTTTACTATAAAGTGTTTACAATTCCATGGAGTTTGATTAGAGTGCTTTTTTTACTTTGTTTATGTTTTCTTAGTTTATGTGTTATTTATGTCTTAAGTGTCATATTTATTTGGTCTCGGTTTGTTATACTTAAATTGTTTTGTTGACAGCTTTATTGCCCTGTTCAACTTTGGTGTGTGTCCGCGATCGGCTGTTTGGTTTTTTTCTTGGAAAATTGACTTTTTATTTTGTTGCCGATGATTATTGTTTTTTTTGTAGGGATTAGGCAATGTGCCTTGTTTAGTTTAATTTGCAAATTATGTTAGGTCATGCGGATGAGTTGAGGATACTTAGCATTTATTTTCAGGTGGCCTGTTCCTCCCTTGTTTGGCCTCTTTTGTTTGGCCAGTGCAAATCGTCCTGTCGACAGATGGTGCGACCGCTCAGGCACTGACACTTGTCACTTAACTCTTTCTTTTCACTTAACACTTTTGACCGTTTCACTATGTTCGTTTGCACTTGTCTGTACTCTGTACTCACTGTATTTGTTACACTGCACTTGTTTGTTTATTTATTTATTTATTACCGATTACCGATATTTCCGAATACTTTGGTTCGTTTTTGGAACTTTATTACGTTTCTCTCGTATACGCTGCTAGGAGAGAAATCTTTAACTACTTGACGCGTCTATCCACTTCGAGTGTCAAGACCGAACTGTGACATTTAAATTAACCAATTAAATCAGCACAAAATTCTACCAAATTTAAATAATTTTTATTCAAGAAAATATTTAATTTTATTATGTTCTTAATATTGGTACCAAGTTAGTATTACAAACATTACAATGTATTCCCTGAGGGCGTAAATAAATTTTATGGTATCTAGGCTATTGTTACATTGTTTTAAAGCAGTTAAGTGGAATTTACCGTGAAAGGCTGGTTGCTATTGACGACGGGAGGTAAGTGAGCTAAGCCTGAATAACGACAAAATCATAGTGACATCCTTTAATGTCACAAAATTACTTATTGTCAAAATAAATTGATTAAAAAGTATTTTTTTACATGAAACCTAGCTATGGGAGCAGAAAAAACATTATACACCACGCAAGAGTTATGTTTTGACCTCGCACGCTCGGGTGCAAACTCGTCCTGGACTGGTAAAATCCACTTAGGTACCTCCTTTGTTACAAAGGCTTTGTAGTGTAATATACTACTATTATTTACTACCACTATGTCAAATTTTGTACAACTGAAAACCCAAGTAAACGTCACTTTACGCGTAGTGTTGTATTATTGAATAATCGCACAGTTGGGAAATTTCATGGCCTGGTTGTTATAGTTACATAACAGTTGTGCTAAGTAATAATAACTATCATAAAATTATTGTTATAGTAACAACACATCTTTAAAAATATTCATAAAACATTTTGTCTTATTTCTTTTTGCCCCGTTAGTAATCATGTCAATGTCAAATTTAAAAAAAAGCTTTAAAATGTTAATAAAGTAGTGTACATTGTACCCTTACGGGCGTCGTTATTACGTTTCTCTCGTATACGCTGCTAGGAGAGAAATCTTTAACTACTTGACGCGTCTATCCACTTCGAGTGTCAAGACCGAACTGTGACATTTAAATTAACCAATTAAATCAGCACAAAATTCTACCAAATTTAAATAATTTTTATTCAAGAAAATATTTAATGTTATTATGTTCTTAATATTGGTACCAAGTTAGTATTACAAACATTACAATGTATTCCCTGAGGGCGTAAATAAATTTTATGGTATCTAGGCTATTGTTACATTGTTTTAAAGCAGTTAAGTGGAATTTACCGTGAAAGGCTGGTTGCTATTGACGACGGGAGGTAAGTGAGCTAAGCCTGAATAACGACAAAATCATAGTGACATCCTTTAATGTCACAAAATTACTTATTGTCAAAATAAATTGATTAAAAAGTATTTTTTTACATGAAACCTAGCTATGGGAGCAGAAAAAACATTATACACCACGCAAGAGTTATGTTTTGACCTCGCACGCTCGGGTGCAAACTCGTCCTGGACTGGTAAAATTCACTTAGGTACCTCCTTTGTTACAAAGGCTTTGTAGTGTAATATACTACTATTATTTACTACCACTATGTCAAATTTTGTACAACTGAAAACCCAAGTAAACGTCACTTTACGCGTAGTGTTGTATTATTGAATAATCGCACAGTTGGGAAATTTCATGGCCTGGTTGTTATAGTTACATAACAGTTGTGCTAAGTAATAATAACTATCATAAAATTATTGTTATAGTAACAACACATCTTTAAAAATATTCATAAAACATTTTGTCTTTTTTCTTTTTGCCCCGTTAGTAATCATGTCAATGTCAAATTTAAAAAAAGCTTTAAAATGTTAATAAAGTAGTGTACATTGTACCCTTACGGGCGTCGTTCGTAACTTCTTCCGCTTGTGCGTAAATTGCTACTCTTGGTATGTAAACTATAGTTATAGTAATAGTACCTGTTTGCGCCACAGGTAAGTTTGAGTATGTAGTTTTTTTTAATTTGTTTGCAAGTCTATTTGTTAATATAAATTTAGTCGGCTATGGTTGCTATATACATATATACAGGGTGTCTCACCAGCGATGATACCTTAGACGTTTACGGAGAACGGCTGAGGATATCAATTTGAAATTTTTATAGCAATTATTGTACAATTTAATCTACCTTTTAAAATTATTTTAAATAAAATTCCTCTTTCGGTTTAACCGGAAGCGACATCAACTTTGTTATTTCCAATGAAACACCCTGTAAATTTTTTTATTTTTTAATTCCTCATGAAATTCTTAATGAAATTGCTGTACCATTCCCTATACCTAAACATAATAGTTTTCGAGTTAACAATTTTTTTCGGAAAATTTTGACAGTTGCACGTTCATTAAACATTGCTTATAACTTTTTTGATATTCGGTTTGCTGGTATGCTGTAAGGATTTTTGGAATCTTAAAACATTGTTTTAAAGATTCCATGTCTGCAATTTTTATATTTATTATCAAAAACCAGAGAAAAATCGTAGTAAATTTGGTTAACTTCAAACATTAATAACTTGTTTATTTTCAATGGAACGGTATGCATGTTTTTACATAATCAAATAGGAAAATGAATTATATTTCGATTGGTATAACCATTCCCTATACCTAAATAGTAAGGTTTCGGAAATACAAGCAAATTTCTGTAATAATCATCCAATATTTTGACATATTTATCTCAGATACCGATGAAATGTCACAACACATTAGTTATGTCATTGATTGACACATGGAGCCTACACAAGGAGCCCAAACTTAATAGGGAAAATTGACAAAACCTGCCCTCTAAATTGCACAAATTAAGTCTTTTTTTTTTCACCACTAGCGGCGCTGATTGTTGATGCGTCTGACGTCTGCTCTTTTGGTAGCGTTTCGGTACAAATTAGTCA